TTTTCGAGAAAATTTGATAATTTTCAAAGTGAATATTTGGTACTTGTGATAAAAAAAAGAACGCTCACTAGTCCAAGAGTCATAAAATTCAGATAACAGACTAAGCAGTCAAACCACAAACTTCTATTTTGCTTATGTGTAAAAGTGATTTAACTATTTGTAACACAAAAAATTTTTTGGTAGTTACCTTAATATTCCATGTATTTTCAGGTGAAGATCACTAGAATTAAAATCATGAACCTACCTCATTTAAACAACAGTTGAAAATGTGGAAGCACTGGAAGGCTACTTTTCTCATAGTATAAGATTCTCTAACAGTAAACACCCACAAACCAAAAAACAGTTGATCGAATCCAGAATCCTCAGTCTTACGCATAAGATGAGAAGGACTATATACGGACTAAATAGTTGTTCACAGTTTCCAAGTTTTGTCTAACTTATACAGGTTTATACTTTCAATCAGATCCAATCATCTCCCTCATCTTATACTAAGTAGACTAATATCGTACAAACATTGTTGTCAACTAAGAAATATAAAAATCATGAATACCCTAAACGTCTATTATCATCTATTACATCATTACCTATAATACTTGATATAAATTAATAAACTGTTTACATGAAACATAAACCATGTACTGCGTCATTTTTTTGTATGTGGAAAACGAACATGGTGGTCTAGCTTCAAATGACTTATGATTTCAACCATTGAAATTATTATAATATCCACAAAAAATCTAAAATTAATCAACATTTGCTCATTAGTGACTGGCGTCAAGAGGTATTTCCTGGAGTTCTAGTGAAAAACAGTAACCAGTGGACTACAAACAAGTTTATTGTGAGATAGTAACTCACTGAAGACAATGGTGCATGTGTCGCTCAATTTCATGGATTAGTTGAAGGTAGACAATAACACCGTTGGATGCCGACTCTGCAGTCTAGAGATTATGTATTCGCGCGTGAGACCGATAGGTCCTGGGTACGAACCTCGCGAGGCGGGATCGTGGTTGTTCACTGCTGAGGAGTCCCAGAATAGTACGAAACGGTCATCCAGTGCTTCTAGGTTTTTCATGGTGATCTAGCTTCAATTGACTCATAATCTCAACCATTGAAAAAATAAACGATAATTGAAAAAAAGTTTCTCTCTACAGACTAATTAAATATTTAAGCAAATAAATTAATAAATAACCATAGATACATGTAACTACTGAAACCATTATAAGTACTATTTATTGTCAGTCAAATGAAACAATAAAAGAATTTCATTTCTCTTTAATATTACTAATGTATCATTTATACTATACTAATTTATGGATGACATTTGAGTGATGTCAGATTAACCTTGAGAGTGTCCATCTAATAACCAAGACCAAATGAGGATTATAAATTAGTGTAAGAAATTCAGATGATGATTTACAATTGATGATGAAGGTTACGAATTAAATTTAAAGTTTACATCATGAACTGACATTAACTAGAATACCAAAACTCTATTTATCCTTATGGATGAATGAATTTCACTCCAAAATCCCAGACCTATTATCTTATATATCTGATTGGTTCATTCATTAAGTATAGTCTCATCATGAAAAATATCTATGTATAATTAATAAATTTATGTTCTCTTACAATCATCATATGTAACTATTATAATGTATTTTTAAATAGTGAATAAATAATAATGGCACCACATGTTTATTATTTATATAAATGAAGTCTTTTCATCCTTAATATGATATATACATATATAAGTAGTATATAAATATATGTTACATTAATTGTCATATAATTTCAATGGTTCTATTGTTTGTTTGTTTTTGTATATATTGATAATTGATTATGACTAAATGAATAAATAGATAAGATTTGATATTATTTTCATTAAAATGTAAAGAAATTGACTATAATGAACATCTGCCTTCATGTTATCATTATTTATTCAAGTTTAAGAGTGAGATAAGTAGTAGTAGTAGTAGTAGTAGTAATAGTAGTAGTAGTAGTAGTATAATAATAATGATGTTGATAATGACCCATAAACATGATATTGTAATCATAAGATATTATAAGCAAAGATGGATAGTGGCTAGCAGTGGAATCCAAGACGCGCGTTTCGTCCTATTGGGGACTCGTCAGCTGGATGTACCTGCATCTCAGAGTTGATGTTCACTCTGGGAGTCATTATCATTTACATAGAGATTGTAAGGAATTGTTTAATTTGAAGATAATTTTTATTTGTGAACTCATATTGATTGATTAAAAATATAATTGAATGAATAGGGTATTGGATAAGTGTTTATAGTTTGAAATTATTAGGATTGTTCATGGGACAACTTCACATCGGAATGAAACTTCAGGAGATACGGAATTAAATCCATTAGAGAGCATAGGTTTCGTCAAGATTACAGGTGCATCATGAAACCTCGGTCCCAAATGTATTTTGTTGACTAGTTTTAACCATCTACCTTGGATTTTCAGATATCAGATTCTTGGAGGTTGTTGACCAAAACCTTTGGGTCTAGGTTTCGTGCTAGTCGATACTGATCAGCTAGATGTTTCTGTGATCTTGAAGAAGCTTATGGTTTCTGAGTGATCCTAACCTGTTTCGCCCAGTTTTAAAGTTTAAGACGTTGTCAATACAGTATTTGAAGTATAAGTGACATCCTACAGTGATGAAATATTTACAGTTAATGGACTACTGAATACAAATCATTTTCATGTTTACCTATTCCTTTAATAATAATCGAGTTCTACCGATCATGTTGTAGTAGGGCCACTAATCTAAGAGATTCCATTCTCTCAATATTTCAATGTCGTAAACGTGCTAGTGTCCTGTTGAGAGAGATATCATAAAGTCATTGTGTCAAAGACCATCGTACCACACTTATCCCCTGATTCGAAAGATTAAAGAATGCAACGGCGATCGAACATAATTTGTAGGTAATTGTTTAATACCAATAAACGATATTTTATTTTTAAATCAAAATTGATTAACTTGAAATCCCAATAGCATTGTTTGTTTCATATTACCATACTTCACTTGACCCGACTGGTTGTACGATGGTTTGTAACATAATTTTATGCAGTATCTTTGTTATCATCAGTTGTTTACTACTGCTACTGCTATAAATGGAGTGAACGAGAAGTTAAGTAGGACAAAATAATTTATTGTTTCATTCAAAATTACAGAGTGTCTTCGTAAAATATGAAAACCATATATTAAATACTGCATTTGCACATCTTCCATTAGTTGTCTCTTACAAACTTCAACGTTTCTTTATTCCCGTTACCAATAAAATTACTGTCTGTTTACATTCCTGATCTCTTCAATCCGATCTTTTCAACCTTCTTCTGTCAGACATTGCACATCTGCTTGGTGTTACATACTACTTATGTCTGTTAACACAAGTAGCATGCAACACACAATACAAGTACTACTACTACTAGCATCATATATTTGGAATATTGTATTGTTAGTGATAAGAAGTTATCAAGAATGAGATTATGTAATAATTCACTGCGACTACCATTTCGAATAGTAAACGTTTTTAGTCTGACAGTCTCAATTATGTATTTATTCAGTATGATAGTAACTGAAGAAAGGATTATTACAATTCAACTAATTGTCATTGCAAGGAAAGTTTGTATATGATAAATTGATAATTTTTCCTAAAACATATTCTTCATATTTACAGTTCAGGTTTTACATTCTGTTATTCTCTGCTTGTTGTCATGCCTTACACTTGTATAAGTGGTAATTGGTTCGTTAATAACTTGAAATATGATCAGTAATGTATATTTAATAGGTAATAACATAAAAATTTATCAGTTGTTTCATAACATTTAATCATTTTAACCATAATTTCATATTGAAGACATGAAAACTTCTGTGTTTCGTTTTACCATATCATTAACTCGGATTATATTTATACTCTGTAACGATTGAAAAAGATGCAGCTTATGAATGATCTTTTATAAGGTCTCACTATCCTTGAAATTTCATTCATATCATATGTACATATTATTGTCGTTAACCAAACTTTTGATACTTCTACCCCTTGGTGATTAAATATCAGTAAAATGTATCATGTTCGATTAACAGTCGCTGTGTTATCAACAAAACACTTCGATTACTTAGCCAATACTAAATAAATTCAGTTAAGTATTTTACAGAGAGTTTATCTGTTTGTAAGCATTCGACATTGTGATGGTATGAGCATACTTGATAAATAAATGTTTAATATAAAATAATAACAAAGAACAAATATGGTTTTCATCACATTTGAACAAATATGTTTATTCTCTTGAAGTCATGAACCGATCAATGTTAGATGATCATTGAAAATCAAGAAGCATGGTACAGTTATTTTGTCCTAGTATGGAACTTTTCAGCAGTGAGCATTTATGAACCCACTGGGAATAATAACCTAGTTCCTTCAAATCCCTAGACTTTAGACCCCTGAGCCAGGATCTGGTAGATTAAATTTCTAAGTCTATGTCCAACACTTCACCACCATTTAGTGAATAACGGCCTCACATCCAACATGATTAAATTTCAGCAATCACAGCTTCACACTAAAAATCCTGGAATGTTAGCAAAAAATACTAGTTGAGGAACCTGAAGTTCAAAGACATAGTCTCTAATGTAGTCATGAGTTCATTTTACATTGAGCTGTCTCAAAATAATACGAAACAGACGTATGATGTTCACTGATATTCATCAGTTATTCAACTATATTCAGTCCAGTATTTTAAGCTCAGTCTCAGCTTATTTATGAATATTTTTTTCTTCTTTTCAATGAAATATTTTCGTACATGGTCTCTCTCAATGTGTGCACGTTATGACCTTAATTTAATGAATTAATTTATGCAAGGTGTGACTAATATTCTTTTCATATTAATAAATTTAAGGGGCGTTCACATGTTCTATTTTGATTATTTCATTGATAGTAATAATAAAGATTCATTACAATGAAAGTATATTGTATGTGTCATTCAAATAATTAAAATGAAGAAAACGCATTTATGTTTACCAGAATTATAAGTGTTAAGAGAACGGAAGTTGGATTTGATGATGATGATGATGATGATGATGATGATGATGATGATGATGATGATGATGATGATGATGATGATGATGATGATGATGATGATGATGATGATGATGATGATGATGATGATGATGATGATGATGATGATGATGATGATGATGATGATGATGATGATGATGATGATGATGATGATGATGATGATGATGATGATGATGATGATGATGATGATGATGATGATGATGATGATGATGATGATGATGATGATGATGATGATGATGATGATGATGATGATGATGATGATGATGATGATGATGATGATGATGATGATGATGATGATGATGATGATGATGATGATGATGATGATGATGATGATGATGATGATGATGATGATGATGATGATGATGATGATGATGATGATGATGATGATGATGATGATGATGATGATGATGATGATGATGATGATGATGATGATGATGATGATGATGATGATGATGATGATGATGATGATGATGATGATGATGATGATGATGATGATGATGATGATGATGATGATGATGATGATGATGAACTAAACCATACAGTAGCACAATCATTGAAATAATAACACACAAGTTATACACACGAAAATGCCATTCCAAATCATTCGATAACGGGTTTGAACTGGACAATTTAATTAACAAATGAATTTTTTCTAAATTGTATTCATCAGTCAATCTAACTTAGACCACCATTGGAAACCTGGAAGCATTGGACGGCTATTTCGTACTAGTATGGAACTCCTCAGTAGTTTGCATTCACGAACCTGTTGAGTAGGTCCATACAGGGACAAAACGGCTGTCCAGTTCTTCCAGGTTTCCAATAGTGGTCTAGCTTAGATTATTGAAAACTCTAGATATTTTTCATATATGTGATTTCATCCTAATTATTAATCGAAATGGGTTTACAATCAATATATAAACGAATGTATTTTTAAGCAGAGTTATTATATTTTGAGGTTTCATATATCTTCACTTGAACCAGTTTTCCGTGTTCTTACTTCATGTCGTGGGAAATGCGGTGGTTCTTCGCCCTTCCAAGTATAAGAATAAGCGAAATGAACATAACGATATAGATATCCATATAATTTACCAGTGGAAATAAAACACCGAAAGCATTGTGATAGTCAGATAAATAGATAGATGGTCCATTATCCATTACTTCAAATGCTTTCATATTTGATATGATTAACTATATTAGTTATGAATATTGTTATAGTCATAGCAATACCCAACCAAATAAAACCTTAACTATGCAAAATACACCATTTTAATTGTTGTATAAAGCATGAAAATAGCTAAGAGAAATGTATGTTCATTGATAGAAGTTACAAAGTATTTATATAATTCATATACATAGCTTTCAATCATCCCATTACATCTTCCGGTATACTGAAACTTTTCATACTATCTGACAATTTTTAATGCCATATTCTGTAACATACTACTTATAAACAATTTTATGAGTAGCTTTCATCTACAATTCTATATTCAATTAATTTAAGTAAAGTATACATTACTCAATTGTAATTAATTAATTTTATTATTATTATTATTGTAAAAATTATGATTATCTTATGAATAATTAAGAGATTTCTTTTTCCGTATAATTGTAATTGGCTTTTTCTTTTTATTAATTAAAAAGGAAACGTGTTCTATTTAATTTTTATTCTTTTACTGTTCTGAGTACAAAAAAAACAAAAAAAAGGAAAAAAACAAAAAGGAAAAAAACAAAAAACGAGAGAAATAACCGAGAGAAATTCATACTATAATCATTGTAAACATGTTTATTTTTATTGTTTTCTTTTTACACAAGAAATGAAAATGATTCATTTTAACTAATTAACTAGATTCTCTAAGAAACTCGACTCAAGTAAATATACATATATTTATAACTATGGCTGTGTGTGTACATACCTACATACTACATACATACATACATAGTGCACTACTGAAATTAACAGACAATTATTCATCTGTTTATGAAGACTCACTATATGCTTACTCATTTCCCCTTTATTCTTCCCTGCTCACTCCCTTCCCCCCTCTCCTCCCTCTCTCTCTCTCTCTCTCTCTCTCTCTCTATATATATATATATATATATATATATATATATATATATATATAGTACATATTTTAACACTGTAGGGTTTACATGTTAACATAGTTAACAATACATCATTATTATATGATTCAGTAGAATGAAATTATATACACATACTATGTAGTCCACTTCTTATAAACTTATAACAGTCCTTCCCCTTTTTTTCTTAACTAAAAATAAAATTATGATCTAATTGTGAAGACGGAAAAATCGGAGAGAAAGCAGAAGTGTTTGGTTATTTATTATATTGTGTGTACAAGTGATTTCTTTCCGTTTATTTTTTTTTTCAATTTTAACACAGTAATGTGTTAGCGTACGAAAGAAAAAGGAATACTGACAATCTCCCTAAGGATTTATGAAGAGGTTTTTAGAGGATATTTCTTTAATAAAATAATAAATAGGGTATGCCCTGAGGATAGTAAAGTGCAATGGCACGTATGTGTATGTGTATGTGTGTACACGTGCATATATATATTGACTATCGAATAAAGGCCATAAGTCCGGATGCATGCATAATAAAAGAGAAAAACATTGTAACAAACTGGAACCTGTTAGGAACTCTTATAGAATGTACATAATATGAAAAATATACAAGATTAGAACTCAGCAGGAAGAGATATTGACTGGTACACTTGTACACAGTTACTCATAAATAGTCATGTGGTGATTGAGAGGAATGAGTCAATGAATTGTAGATTGTCTATAAGTGTGCTTGTGTGTGTGTGTGTGTTGAGGTTTAACTAAATATTATTACGAATGGAAAATTAGAAGAAAGTGGACAGTTTTAGAGAAAAACCATAATGAAATCACAGAATAGAGAAAAACTTATCGGAAATTTTTGTAAAACCACATGAAATAGGTGATGTCTTGAGGAATGAAAAAAACACCCCGATGATTTGAGCCATTTCTACTGACAAATCATTCACAATTAAATAAGGTAGACTGTATAGCTGTATCACATTAATTTAAATATCCAAATTAATTTTGATCAATGACATTTACAAACATTTTAAAATCAATTCTTAATTAAACGTTTGAAAAATAAAATAAACTTTCATATTAATGTGGAGCAGTAACAAGTAAGGAGTTGAAAAACTCATGAAGAATGTTGACACTCAGTTATTTTAATAGTTGTGATCATGAGTCAATTGAAGCTAGATCACCATGGAAAACCTGGAAGCACTGGACGGCTGTTTCGTCCTATTGTAGGACTCCTCAGCAGCGCGCATCCACGATCCCACCCCCTGAGAGATTGTGAACCAGGACCTGTAGGTCTCGCGCACAAACGCTCAACCTCTAGACCAACGAGCCGGAATCCAACGATGTTAAGAGGTATTTCTGTGAGTTCTAGTAAGAATCAGTGATTAGTGGAGTACAACCATGTCTGTTGTGAGATAGTAACTTATTGAAGACAATGATGGATATGTCGCTGAATTTCGTGGACTAGTTGAAGTTCGACATTAACACCGTTAGATGCCGGTTGGTTCAGTGGCCTACTGGTTAAGCGTTTGCGCGCGAGACTGATATGTCCTGAGTTCTAATTTCGAGAGTTGAGATCGTGGATGTGCATTGCTGATGAATCCCACAATAGAATGAAATGGCCATCCAGTCCTTTCAGATCTCCCATGGTGGTCTAGCTTCAATTGACTCATGATATCAACTAACAAACTTACTATAATATCTGCAAAACCTTTTTCTAGTACTCAGTCATTTGTTTGAAATAATAAATGACTTCCTATTTCTTAGCGCAGTAACCAACTAACTCTTATAGTATTTTTAGATTTTTCATACCACATTGAAATATTGCTATTATCATTTTTCATTATGATTATGATTAGTTCACTAGTAATTTTATATTTATTACTAGACTTTTCATTTTTATGGTACATCAATTTTGGTTAATAAATATACCTGATCAATTGAAGTCTTAAACCTCAATGGAAAGATACAAGTAAAACAATACCAAATGAATTTACCATTTATTCGGTTGTGAGTATAATATACAATCACAGATTTATTTCTCTATTCTTATAAAACTTAAACCTGTAGTTGTGGAAGTTGTTTAATATTAAATCAATATAATGTAGGGATGATATTAACTACAAACAGACTGATATCATTTTGAGGACTATTAAAAACCGGTGAGGAATGGAAAGTTCTGATATGAATCCAAACATGAATGATTTAAGAAGAATACATATGAAACAAATATATATATTTTTTCAAGATATGCTAGAACACCTTAAATAGAGTATCAAGAAGACATGGAAAGATGAAAATGACAAGGGTTGAAAAGAACATTTCCTATTAAACGTAGGACATATCAGCTGAATCTCTAGAGGAGTAAATGAGTTCCACATAGGCAATATTAAGATATAGTTATGATACACAATTAAGAAAAAATCAGTTAATAGTGTCCATTTAAAATAATAGCGAAGATGGTATAAGTATATTGAAAGCATATAAACAGCTATACTTTAATTATCAAATATTTTTCTACTAATAAACAACTTCAAAACTGTCTATTTAGTACCTTCGATTGTAATTTAAAGCAGTAGAATGTGCACTGAAATAACTGCACAGTATGTTAACATCAAATACGGAGATAAGTTCACTTGTTAGATAACTAAGTTCCACTACACCAAGGTATATAATTGAAACATGTCATAAGATTGACCTTAAAACAGGTGTATGAGAATCCTCACTGTCGGAAAATTTAAAGTTTTGTTAAGTAAGTTTTATCCCAACTTTGAATCTGATGCAATGATTACATAATCAACTTTTATTATCAGAAATAGTGTGATGACATTCATCGTTTTATATTTTCACTTACGACCTGAAAATTTATTGATCTTTCTTAGATTTTACATAAAGTCCTTAGACAAAAAATTTTTTCTTAGATTCCATCAATCAGTGAAAATCAGATAGCAATGGATAGCTATTTTGACCTAATATGTGACTTTACAGCAGTGTACATTAATGACATTAGCGGGAACCGAGCCTAGGGTTTACGGTTTTAGCGTGAGCATCGAACATCTACACTACTGAACTGGGATTCAATGGTATATATGTTTAACTTTAATCCATTTGCAGTATTGTGTGACCTACATTACATATCGAAATTTGTTAGTAGTGAAGATTGTTGGATAAATATCTGATCAGACTGTTGTTTGAAGTGTGACATGCAAATACATGAACTTTGTTTAATTATAACATTAACTGAATTTATCTAAAGCTCTAATTAGTTTAAATGTGCATATGACAAAAATAACGATTATTTTTTCAGTTTTTTCATAGATTTGAACAAATCGAGAACGATCATACTTACTTACTTACTTACGCCTGTTACTCCCAATGGAGCATAGGACGCCGACCAGCATGAACGATTATATTTGTAGAATAATGTGAATTTATTGTATATATCTGCTTTCTTTTCATCTATATACGAAACAATTAGTTTAATTACTTCTAGTTATAAACATAATATACAATTTAAGAAATGAATTATCAGTACGGAATGGGTGAGTTTATCATATGCTACAAATATTATCGTTTTCTGGTTAGTGTATTTTTAGCAAGGTTCTATGGGAGAGTTCTTTTGTACGAAACTGAAAATTGAGGAACTGTTACAACCATCATCAAAAAGTACAGGTGTTTATAAACAGTTGTGTTCTCAAAGTATTCCAGATCTATTAAGCATATATCATCAGTAACGACCTAATCTAACACAGAACAAATCAGCTTTCAACTAAAGATAAAAAAGGAACAAACTCTGCAGGTGAATAGTACACACATTGCGAAAATCATCAAACTGAATCACAAAGAAAGCCCTTACTTGGAATCCTAAATGGAAAAGGAAAGATGGTATACTGAAGAACATATTGGGCTGAAAATTTGAGGTAGTAATCAGAGAAATGAATAACACTCGTGAACAACTGGAAAGGAAAGCCTAGGACAGAGTAGCTCTGAGATCCCTGGTTAGAGGCCTGTAGTTTCGGTTATTATGTTAGGCCAATTATCTTATTCTAGCTTTCAGACTAGTCAATATATTCACTCTACTCGAGTCATATTTTGAGCTTTTTTAATTATTCGCTTATCAATCGTCCCTGATTTTATATGAGCGTAGGTGTGTGTACATTTCTTATCCTATTCATCACATCTGTAACTTCTTTTTGTGTAACTATTGATTAGTGCTTGACTGAAAAAAGAGTTGGCTTACCCGCCATCTCCACTGCACGTCTTTTCGCTTCTCTCTATTCCATTTCCTTCATATACAAAAAAAATATATATTTAAAGTTCATTCTCGTTATTTGATTTGTTTAATTCCGTTATTGACTAAAGCGATTCAAGTCGATGATTATATACGAGAATAGGCGACATATAACAATCATTCATGTGATCTACTTGAAGTCAAATCTCGGGCCACCAAAGTGGAGAGCCCATCAACAAACATCGTCCGATCTCAATGACAACAAAACAAAAGGAGGGCTCCACAGGCCTATACTCCATTAAGGGTAACAGGCTTAAGTAAGTAAGTATATTGTCTTAATTTGTTTGAGATTCATAGAACACTATATTGTAAAGTTGATTAATAGATTACTGACAACTCTAAAACCAAATTTATTTCATTAAATGTCTTGAATTATCGTAAAAGTTCATTTATACTCATTAGATACTTCACTGTTCATTAATATTTTGTTAAAACAATTAATTAGAAGTATAAGAGGAGATGATTATACATTTGATTCTAAGACTACATTTCAAAAACCTAAAAATCAATGTGTCTTAATGATTGTTCAGTACAACTACTAGTCACTTAATTGTGATAAAACAATAAGTCATAAATCACCAAAATAAATAAATAACTAAAATGATGCTTAACTTAACAGATCATTACATGACTTTGACTTAACCAATGTATTAAATATATTAGTCATTTTTACTGTACTAAAAGAGAACATAAGTGAGAACAATTGAGTTATTTGATAAAAATAGAAAAACCATACTCCAATACTTCAATTGCAAAATGTTCATTAATTGTCGTATACTTGATTGTTCCTTCATATGCATACCAATTATTTTCTGTTCCCGTTCTTTCCTCCTCGATTTTTTCAACCTTCCACTGACAGATATTCTATTTCTGACTAGTATTAAATACTACTTATGTCGATAAATGTAGTACATACCACACTACTAGTATTGAATGGGATGTTTATATATATTTGTTATCTGTTTAACCTGTTAATTCATTCATTTATAATATTATACTTTCTCAATTGATTGTTTAAATCTCTATGTACCCACATTTACAAATTATTTATTAATAATTATTTTTGTTACTGAGTATCATACTCAGTTTTGTTAATTTTACGACATACGTTTGATATGAGAAAGCCTTGAGATTTTCTAACCAAATGGTCATATGTGAATGTTCTGTTTTAGTGAAATTTATTGATTGCATCTTGGACCGATTGATGTTAGACCACCATTGAAAACCTGTATGCACTGGACGGCCGATTAGTCCTATTGCGGGACTCCTCAGCAGTACGCATTCACGATCCTGCTCGCGAGATACGAACCCAGGACCATGTGCTCACTAGTGACTAACTTTGTGAGGGAATTCTCGGAGTTTTAGTGAGAGGCCGTGACCAGTAGAGTTATCCTGTGTCGGTAGAAACAGGTATCTACATCAGTTGGACATCGGTCGGCGAGACCGAAGGCCCTGGGTTTGAATCCCGCGAGGTGGGGTAGTGGATGCGCTCTACTGAAGCGTCCCGCAATGGGACAGAACGGCCATCCAATGCTTCTAGGTTTCCAACGGTGGTCTAACCTCAATCGGCTCATGATCTCAATCAAAAACCTAATAATCTCCACAACCCTTATACTGAGAATAATAGTACTTAGCTGTTAGCTACATAAATCAGTCACTCTTCAATATTGCCTAACCATAAAATATCTACGTCGGTTATGTCGCTCTCAAATTCATAATTGATGAATTTAGATAGCCAGAGCTTCATGTTAGAACTTCACTGGCATTAGAGATTATTAGAGACTAACTGAGTGTTCCGAAGATATTGTCTTCAAAGTGGGGTCTGCTATTCTGTAATTTTATCCTTGCTAGGATCCAGGGTACCCTGTTTTCCAGTGGTAGTATAGCTTAATTTATTTGGCAGCATAAATCTTGAGTTTTACTAGTTAATGATGAAATCCAACTGTCATATCTTTCAAAATTTAGTTAACTAGGGATGCTGATTAACATTAATCGAAAGAAGAACGTGAACTTGTATTTGGTTACTGAATGTCATCTACCTATTTATGGGTCTTCCAAATATCTATTTGCGTTCCCATAATCTGTCATTCGATATTGTCATTATCGTATGTAATACCAACTTAAAATCTCTGAATACTTTACTCCTTCTGTAAATATAATTAGCTATATGTATTGATGACCTGCTTGAATATCTGGGCTACCTGTTCTTGCCATTTAAATATTTCACCAAGTTAATACATCATTATGGCTATTAATCGGATAAACTATTCAGATACGTTTCTGAAAACTGTACGACCTTTCGTTGTGCACGTTACAAAAGATCTAATCAGAGATATCGTGGTTGCTGGTAATATATATCAAAAAGAATATGCATTAATCAGATGTTGACTCTTGAGCTGCCAACATCTAATTGGCGATCACTCAATATTTATCGTCAGGATCGATCAAGAAGTAAGAAAAGGAAACTTGTTGAAATACTTTATGCTGAGAATTTTATATTGTACCAAAAATTTAATACTGAATAAAGCTAATAATAAATAAATATTAAAACTTTTCTATTTTGTACGACCATTAATCGTGAAGTCATTGATTACTCTAAACATTAGATTTTATTGAACTTTGTTGATTATGGCTTCTGAGCTAAACTTCACGAAAATTTCCTAAAACTAACCAATATTATTGAGATGTTATGTAATAATTATTCATTTTATAGCTAGTAAACAACATAAATTGACTTGTGTCAAACAAATGTTACATATCAGATAGTATTAAATAACTGTTAAGTTCTAATTTAAGACTCTTCAACAGTTTGAATCTAATAGATTGCTAGGAATTAAACTCAAGATTGTCAAACCATTCAGAAAGCTCTCTGACTTTAAACTACTGAGTTTAAAATAAGGATCATTAAGTACTAACTAAATATTCTGAATATAAAGTTATCTCTTTGATCCTTATATGCCATGAATTCAATCACTGAATAATTCTTCTTAATACAGTTCTGGGGAGTCTCATACTTGAATTTTATTATTAGGATACTAAGATATGACGACTAGGTCACACCATTAAATATTAATAGAGGCCTAAATATTTTCCTATTGCTTTGTTTTTCAATAAATAAATGTAAATGTGGATGCGTAAATGTGGATTACTGAGTTGTCCCACAAAAAGACGAAACAGTTATCCAGTTCTTTCAGGCTTTCCATGATGAGCTAGCTTCAATTGACTTATGATCTCAACCATTGAAATATAAATACCATCCGATTAATTTCTTCTATCCTGTGAAAATAATGATGAAAAAAATGTTTTATCAATTAAGGTGTTGTGGAGATTGTCAAGTTTTGATTGAGATCATGAACCGATTGATGTTAGACCACCATTGAAAACCTGGAAGCACTGGACGGCCGTTTCGTCCTATTGCGGGACTCCTCGGTAGGTTGAGGTTAGACATTAACACCGTTGGATGCCGGCTCAAAGGTCGAGTAGGTTAAGCGTTCGCGCGTGAGACTGAAGGCCCTGGGTTCGCACCCCGCGAGCAGGATCGTGGATGCGCACTGCTGAAGAGTCCCATAATAGGACGAAACGGGCGTCCAGTGCTTCCAGGTTTTCAATGGTGGTCTAACACCAATCGGTTCATGATCTGAATAAAAAAACGTTTATTAAAACATGTTACGAAGAAAAAAGATGCAAAAGTTAAAGAAAAAAAACACCCGAAGAAAACAGTTTTTATTCTTTTTAATCACTCCTTTTTTTTCCTCTCCGAATCACTTAAGGAGAAAAAAGTTATTTGTTAACTTGATTCTAACCATTTCTAATCAAACAATTAAAAAGGCATGAAAATGATTAAAACAGTTTACGCCAATCATACCATACCTATTATTATTATTATTATTATTATTATTATTGCTATTGTTATTATGGCAACAACAACAACCATTACTACTGTGGTGATGATGATTATAATGATGGTCATTAATATGAAGGTGTATATTTGAGTTCTTTTTTTTTATTGTATTCAGCTTTGTATTCGGCAAACTGGAATATTTCTCTTTCATGTATATATCAAGGAATTGAAAGCACCTGTAAACATCTGTTTTAGAAAGAATGAAAGAAAGTAAGTAAGTAAGTAAAAGAATTATTTCTTGTACAGATTATTAATTTATTCAATAGTAGGAAAAATGACTGATGTTTTACATCTGTGTTAATTACATTCAACTGTCTTGTTCTTCTTTTTTTTTTCTAGATTTGATTTGATTGTTTCATTTTCTTCTATTTTACTTCATAATTCATTGTTACACAAGTACATGCACACACATAGTCAGACATGCAACCAGATGTATACCAATGCAACTGTTACAATAATTCAACTCAGCAGGGTGTAGATAATTGTTTAAGGGGTATGTACCAATATAGAATAGAAAAAGTAAAGTGTTAATGACTGATGTAATTCAATTGTGCCTTGTTTACTTATCACCATTATTATTATTATTATTATTATATTGGGTCATTCATTTTGTTAATGAAAAATGAAAGTATGAATTCTTTTCATTTACTTTTCTCTTCACATAAAAGAGATTCATTCTAATGATTGTTTGTTTTTTTTCTCTTTTTTTTTCTGATTTTCTTTTTGAATATAATTGATAACATTTCTTTGTAGAATTACCGCTTTCAAATGAATTATCTCATGATATTGGTTGTGTTCATTCCATGGTATGTTTACTTTTTATGTTCTGAAATAATGTAACTAGTTTCTTTTTAATCAACTAAAGTTTCTATGGTGTTTTTGTTATTATTATCATTATCAAGATCATATCAGCTATTCAATTAATGTTATTGATTGTGATTTATTGATTAGGTGTGATATCATTATAGGTGCTAGTGATTAGACTATTTGGATAATTAGTTTTTCATCATGGCCTCTACATGGCTCTCTCTCTTTCTATATATATATATATATATATATATATATATATATATATATATATATATATATGAGAAAAATGAACAAGAATTGGATGGAACTAGAAAAGAAGGCCCAGGACAGAGTGGGTTGGAGAATGCTGGTCGGCGGCCTATGCTCCATTGGGAGTAACAGGCGTAAGTAAGTATATATATATATATATATATATCGTTTGTTCTCTCAGAATCCTAGATCTCATGTACATCATTGGTTCGGAAATACGGTTTTCCAATTCTCCTCCATATCCACCAAAGTGCCGGACATTCGCTTTTCGTCCTCTCAATTTCATAAACAAGTTCGTTACGGAAAAACAGTGAGTAGGACGTCCCTGACAGTGTTTGTATACGCGTGGCCATATGAAAGCATTTCTCGAGGGGAAGAGGACTATCTCCATCCTAAGCCATATCAAAGCATTTAATAGTGATAGGTTTTGATCAAAATTTAGTTTAATATTATATCTGGTGAAAAAGTTAGTGGTTATCTAGATTTATCAGTTTGAAGAACAATACGCCAACATTTGAGGTAATATATACTGAGTTTAAGTCCATGTGAATATCAACACAAAAACATAGGTATATACACTTGACGCGTCTCAATCTGGATGAAAAGCATTTTCTAGATTACACTAATGGTCACAATTCATATATATATATATATATATATATATATATATATATATATATATATATATAAATTCACTTGCTGTTGTTTTAACTGTATCTTCCTATTGTTATTTAGCACTGCAATTGATCAGTTTCATGTTGGTATATATGCATCCTGTGCGGATTGCCTCAATATAGCGTTAAGTCACAAGCTTTTTAAGCAAAGATGGATAGTGGCTAGCAGTAGAATCCAGTTTTACGCCCGTTTCGTCTTATTCGGGACTCGTCAGCTGGATGCACCTGCATCTGAGAGTTGATGTTCACTCTGACACTCGAACCCGGTACCGTTCGCTTCAAACTTACCCACTTACTTACTTACACCTGTTACTCTTCGTGAAGGAGCATAGGCCGCTCACCAGCATTCTCCATCCAACCCTATCCTGGGTAATCCTTTCTAGTCCTTTCTAGTTCTTATTCGTCCTTTTCATATCTGCTTCTATTTCCCGACATAATGTGTTCTTTGGCCTTCCTCTTTTCCTCTTCCCTTCAAGATTTCAAGTTAGGGCTTGCCTCGTGATGCAATTCGATGATTTGCTTCAAACAACATCGCATTATCCACTCAGCTATTGAGTCCTAATAGCTATCCGTTTGTACAATGGGATGAAATTAAATTCACTGCGATGTAGTTACATTCAGCTGACGAGTCCGAAATAAGACAAAACACTCATCCTGGATTCCACTACTAGACACTATTTATCTTTATTCATTAAGACAGTTTTGTTCTGTTTAATTGATGGTCTATATTTATATAAACTAATATTTCCACTAAATAATAATAATAATAATAAATAACAGATCATCAAAACAATAATAATTTAGATTGACATATACAATGTTAATTTTATAATTATTTCTTTATTTAATCTACACATGGACAGCTGTAAACATTCATTGACATTAACTATATAACAATCAAAACACTTATTCAAAGACAAAAGATAATAATAATAATAATACATAAGTAATATAAAGAGATGTTTGAAAAATTAAAATATTTTTCATTATACTACTTTTGAAAAGATGTCTACAGGTGAGAATAGGAATTAATTATTATTATTATTATCTGCTATTTATTAGTAGTATAATTCTTATTTTCAGAAGGGGTTTTGTGAAGATTTTAGAAATTTCACTGGTTGATATCATGAATCAATTGAAGCTAGATCTCCACAAAACCTCTTCTAATAATAATCATCTACTCACTAGTGACTGTCTTCAAGAGATACTCCTGGAGTTCTAGTAATAAGCCGTTACTAGTGAAGTTCAATTAGGTCTGTTGTGAGATATCAACTTCGTGGATTGGTTGAAGTTAGACAATAATGCCGGCTCAGTAGTCTAATGATTAAGCTCTCGAGCGTGAGACTGATAGGTCCTGGGGGGGCGGGGTCGTGGATGCGCACTGCTGAGGAGTCCCATACTAGGACGAAACGTCTGTCCAGTGCTTCCAGATTTTCCATGGTGATCTTGCTTCAATTGACTTATGATTTCAACCAGTGAAATAATTATTTTGTTAAATATTCTCTTAAATTTGTTTTCTTCCCTTTTTTTCTTTTCTTTTCTAATATAATTAATATTAGACAGTTAATATTGTATTATTAAAGGTTAGATTATATTCAAGTAATGATTATTAACACCTTCAATAGAATTTCACCTAATTAAAATTTAATTATGATGATATTTACTTGGTGAAACTATATTCTTCTTTCTTGTAGTACATAATGTTTTCTTACCATATAATGAATTACTTATGTATGTTAACCCATATAAAAGAGAATAGGTCGCTCATCAGGATTGTCTATCCAATTCTGTTCTGGACAGTTTTTTCCAGTTGTTATTCATCATTCATACGTCTGCTTTCAATTCCCAACGCAGTGTATTTATTTGCCTTCCTCTTTTTTGTTTCTCTTCAGGATTACAAGTTAGGGATTGCCTTGTGATATAGTCTGATGATTTCTTCAATGTTTGTTCTATCCACTTCCAATGTCTTTTACTTATTTCCTCTTCAGTTAGGAATTAGTTTGTTCTCTGCCATAGTAGACTGTTGCTGTTGATATCCGGCCAAAGGATATTCAGTATCATACGTAGACTTGTACATTTTTGATGATGGTTGCGGTAGCTATCGAAGTTTCAGCTCCATACAGTAGGACTGTCTTGATATTCATATTGAATATTTTGATTTTGATGTTGGTTTGCAGACAGTTGTTTTGGGTTGCATATATTCTTCAACTGTAGGAATGCTGTCCTTGTTTATCCAATGCTTACCCTTTCGTTTGTATTAGATCGTCTTTGTTCATTGATGATATTGCTGTCCAGATACATGAAAGTTTTCACCTGTTCTATAGTTTATCCATCAGCTGCAATTGAATTGGTGTTCACAAGCGTTACAACTGCATATTGTTTAACCATACACATATTTCAGCAAGCCATACTTTCAAATTGTATGGACTAAATATTACTGTATGCTAACTTTATGTACTCAGATGATACCGTAGAAAGTTTCAAAATTATTGTAATGTTAAATACTAGGGAACTTGAAAAGAAACTATGCAGTTGTTCGTATATTTTCCTCACTTTATCCCTTGACGAGATGAAAGACCAATAAATTGGGATGGATTTTTACTCAATAAATTGAAACAAAATAAAAGTAACAAACTTCACATGATATAATAAATTCATTGTAATTTAGGGCTTCTAATAATCTACAGGTAGCCTAATATTATTATAAACAACATTTTACATGTCTAAGTCAATCAAGTTGAATTTGAAATAGAAAAGAAAAAAAGAAAAGAAACAAGATGAAGACATGATGTATATTTAACATAGTAGTTAACATCGATGAGTATTCATGCGTTGAAAATGAGGTTTTATCAAGAAAGAAATAGGGTTATAAATACTAAGTAATAGGTGAAATGGAAGTAATTACTTGACAAGTGAGACTTCTCATCCGCATTATTGATCTCGCAGACGGAATTCGAACACAGGGCCTTAACGCCATTAGATACCGGTTCAGTGGTCTACAGGTTAAGCGTTTGCGCGCGAAAACAAAAGTTCTATGTTTAAATTCCTCTTGTGGGATCAAGGATTAACAATTCTGAGGGTTTTTATACTAGGATGAAATGGCTATCCAGGTATTTAATAGTGATCTAACATTGATCCATTCATCTACTCAATCAAAACAACAATCTCCACATCTCTATGCTGATAAAATAAATATCTTAGATGAATATCAGTGGAATGTATAAAATATGAAATAAAATCATAATATCATTTAATATTCAAATAATATATCACTATAAATATTCTATCATGCCGAAGAAGAGCTAGATAAGCTTGCTTTATTTATACAAAGGTAAGATTGTAAGAATTTGATGATAATGGTCTTTTAGAAATGAAGCTGAAATGATGCTCGCTGTTTGTTTATTACATTGATCGCTATTGGGATATTCACCGTCCATTAAATGTCAAATGCCCGAACTAATGAATGTATCATATATATGGTGGACGATTAGAATAGTTGTAAAATCTGAGCTGGTATAAAATTTCCAAAATTTATAGTACTGGATAAATTTATTATTATTATTAAGTTGTCAGAAAGAAATCGAAATTTTATGGTAATGAGATCAATACAATGTAATCATTCAGTACATACAATACTTACGTCTGTTATCTCTCATGGAGGAGTATAGGCTTCCCACCAGCATTCTCCATCCATACCGTGGTAATATATAATTATATTCAAAATAAGGTTTTATTGTAATATTTACCGCTCTAATTTATTTTATCGCGAACCCATATAGTATATAGACAATTCTTGAAAAAACTAAAATTGATTGAACTCATTTGTGCTAATTTGTGTATAATTTTAAAGTCAAGTATTTCAAAACTATGCAAAAACATACTCATTCGAACACTTCACTTCTATCTGAAGTTTGTGCTGATGATGTCATTCAGAAGAACGATGAAATCTCCACGAACAAACCATTCAGCTCAGAGAACAAAACTCCATCAAACTCATTAGTTGTTTTTTTTTTATTCAACACAAAGAATGGTGATACTAAATACTATAAAATACAAATAAAAACAATACAATGATTGAGATACTCTCTTTCTTGCTTATACTTTCTAGAAAGGAGAGGAGATTTACGTATAAAACATATTATATAATATGGAAATCATTAAAAAGTATTACAATCAAAGATAAATGACAAATCAACACTATTAGGTTATAATTAACTAGTTTATTACTTTGAATAGCACTGTAAGTAAGAAAATTCCTTGTGATAATCAATTATCAAATAAATGTTATTAAACTTTATAGCAAAA